AGAAAGAAAGAAAGAAAGAAAGAAAGAAAGAAAGAAAGAAAGAAAGAGGAGGAAACCCAGCTTTACCCCAACTGGCAAGTAGTGTTGTAAGATTATATACATGCTATTAGGGGAGGCAAGTTATCAAACAGTCTTACACAGCAGCTATGATAATTGGTGTCATGACAAGATACTCCCAACCACTTCGTGCTGTATTTAAGGCCCACTCTACTAACCCACATGTGACTCAGTTCCATCTGGAGTCAATTCTGACTTAAAAGCCATTTGAGTTCAAGAGTGCCTGCTCTGCTTGCTCCAGTATCCTTGAGGGCTGTGAGAAAGTTCTGATTAAGCCTGTGGGAAAGAGCATTTTGCCCATGAGAAAAGAACATACTATCTAGTAGAAAGAATACTGCTGATACTATCTAGACCTTAGGGCACATCCAGATAAAAGAAACTGCTTGCTCAAGGACATGAATGGTCTTGTGGTTAGATATTGACTGTGCTGTGCTTTGTTCTGCTTTTATATATAAGCAGGTTCTGAAATAAACTTGGGACTGTCCAGAGTAAGCTGGAAGTTCCCCTAATCTATCCTGTGTTTCTGTCTCAATTTCTCTCAGTCTAACATTTCCTTAGCTTCAGCACCCCCTTCCAGGAACCCTGGCTGACTTTGTTGGAGCAGGCTCTGACACTCTACAGGATAGAACTCATACTTGTTATAGGGCCAAAACCCTATAGCTGCCTAAGTCATAGGGCAGAACCTAATATTATTGCTTTCCTAAATGGACATAGAAATAAACTGCCCCCATGTCTTACTATTATACCCGAAAAACAGGGCATCATTCAACCCTCATCAGAGAAGCTTCTTTTTGCAATAGATTCACAACTAGTAAATGTACAGAGAATAAGAGACAATGAAGTGCTCAGCTGTTATTGAGATATCTGTATCACACCCCCTCTTCAGTTCCAGGGGATCCTATGCCCTCTTTTGACCTCTTTGAGTACTGCACACACATGCTGCACAGACATATATGTAGGCAAAACATCCATATACATAAAGTAAAAATAAATCTCTTAAAAATATATAAACTTTAAAGATGAGCAAGAAGCAACGATTATAATACAAGTGTATAATATTAATGTGGCTGGAATGCTTTAAAAATGTGTAAAATAGCCGGGCAGTGGTGGCGCACACCTTTAATCCTAGCACTCAGGAGGCAGAGGGCAGGCGGATCTCTGTGAGTTCGAGGCCAACCTGATCAGCTGAGCGAGTTCCAACACAGCCAGGGCTACACAAAGAAACCCTGTCTTGAAATACCAAAAAAGAAGTGTAAGATATGAAGCAGCGTTGGAATGAGCTCCGGAATTAACATATGCTCACTGCTTACGTAAATACGAACAATCTAAAATAATAAATAAATAGATAAAGCTGAAATAAACCATGGCGTTCCTAAAGCGAAGAGACTTTCTGCAGGAATAGCAAGCATTCTGCTCACCGCTTACGTAAATACGAACAATCTGAAACAAACAAACAAATAAATGAAGCTGAAATAAACCGTGCCTTCCTAAGGCGAAGAGACTTTCTGCAGGAATAGCAAACATTCTTCTGCGCGAGTGTGGGGTTGCAGCTTAGGTTGGTGAAGCAGTGCTCTGGGACAGAAAAGCTGTCTCATGGTGCCAGGCCCGCCCTCTTTTGCTCCCACGGGACTGGAAGTATGCCCCACTTGCCGGAAGCCAGCAGCGGATGACTAACGCCTGTCCTTGGTCCCGCGAACTGCAACTGTGTCCTCGCGATACTATTTCCCCCGAAATGGCCGCCACAAGTCAAGGTAAAGGCAGAAGCGCGCGGAGGGTCGAGGGTGGAACCGCCTTGCTGGTTTAGGATGAGGGATAGCCGAGGGCCTGCCGCATTCCTCCTGCCGCGGGGAGCCTCAGTAGCGCACGGAGAGGCTTGGAGACTTTTCGGCCCCTGGCCAAGGTTATGCTCAGACTGGTTGCAAAGTTGCCCTGGGACGTTTTCTTGGCTTACCTCCGGGCTTCTAGCACCGCCCCTACCTAGGTTTCCTACCGAGGTTTCCTACCGAGGTTTCCTATCGAGGTACCCTACAAAGATTCAGTTCCTGTTCTCAAGCGATTCGGCTCTCTTGACAAAAGCGTGTTTGTCTCTTAGGACGTGCCTTTCAAATGACTGGCAGTCCTCATTTTCGTTGGCCCTATCCTACTCGTATTATTGATTTTTTTTTTAATTAGTAGGAGGTATAGGATGGTACTTTTAGTCGTCCTACTGTAAAAGAAAACTCCAGTGCAGCGATTCATTTAAGTTATTCTTCTTACTCTAATTTGGTTAACGTTAAGTCAGTCGATTCATTAAATTTAGGTTGTAACCAGCACATGCGATGCAATTGCTATAGAGAGTACCTAGGAATTTCTGAGACATCTTGAGGCTTACATGAATTGTCGTGCTTATAGTAATTATCATTGTTTTCCTTGTCCCATAGACGAGACTTGTAAATTTTGTTTAGCTGTACTTAATGAACAACTGATGAAACTGGGTGGGCTATAGGGCACTCTTCACTCCACTTCATCCACCATCATCAGAGATTTTTGTGTGACCATCTGACCTCAAACTCAGCAATGCTTTCTCAGCCTCAGTGTTGGCCTTACAGATGCTTGGAACTACACCTAACTTAATCCCACTTTTGACTGGAGCCATCTGTTGTGTGAATGGGCTTGGTAAAATTACATTTAAAAAAACTTTTGTTTTCAGCGATATTTTCTTCAACATGGTGGTGATATGTTATTGTTATGTCACATAGATTATTTTATTGTGTATGGTATAAGGTAGACCATTTGTTTAAAAAACACATGAATACTGCTTCTAACAAAACTGAGAAGACTTGCTTTCTACTGTAGAATTACCTGGATATACCTTGTTAGAAAAGTCACATAATAGTATGTATAAATCTATTTCTAGACTTTGTTTTCAACTAACATTTTTGTGTATACTTGGGTTGATGTAGCATATCATTGAATAGCTTATTGTAGCTTTATAAATCTTTAAATTAAGTTTAAGTGGCTCTTGTAAGTTTTGAATGCCATTAAACTTTCCCACTAAGATTGTGGTCATGTATCATATAGAAGATATATTTTCCCACATGGCCTGTTTTAAGTGGACTTTGATATTCCCCTCTCAGTAGAACTTGGAGTCTATATTTCTTATTCCTGAATCTGGATGGGGACTACTCTAGTTTAATTTGATGGTAGTAAAACTGTATGGTTTCTGAGGCCAGGACTTAAAATGATGAGACAGTTTTTTTTTTTTTCCAGGTCCTTAATCTTTCCTCCGTTTGTGAGGAAGCTAATTACAATGGTATTAAGGAAACCCACTCTAGCCTCTAAGAAAAGTGGTCTGTACATGTGACTGTAAACTTCTCAGATTGTTTTAGACCCTGCACAATAAGTTATCTAGCTAAAGCCTCAGATATCACAGAATAATATAGAAGTCTTAATGCTGTGACTGAATTCCACGTGCAAAGAACTGGACACATTAGCTTTGTTTCATGATGTTTGGGGGCATTTTGTTGTACAACTTTTGTAACTGGAACACTATTATTGGTCCTTTGTCTGTCTATATAAATTTTAGGATTTCTTAACTCAGTGGTTTTCAACCTTGCTAATGTTGTAACCCTTTAATACGGTACCTCATGTTGTGGTGAACCCAACCATAAAATTACTTTCATTGCTACTTCATAACTGTAATTTTGCTACTGGTATGAATTATAATGTAAATATCTAATATGCAAGATATCTGATATGCAACCCTCCCCAAAGGGCTTGCCATCCACAGGTTGAGAACCTCTGCCTTAACCTGTAATGGACATTTTTTTATCTAAGGATTATATTATAATGTTACTTCTCTCCCAACCCAGTAATCTTTTTGGACTCCAATTGAATATGTATGTAACCTTCTGAACATTTTTGCTTAACTTAATATCTTGATCATCTCTGATTTTGCCTCTATTTTCTATTATATTTTTAAATGACAATTCTTGGCTTTTTCTTTTGTTTCTGCATAGTCTTGGATAGTAAGTTTTTGACATTTGTTGTCTCGATGCATGTTTTCAGGGAAGGACTGGATGTAACATGATTTTTGTACAATAAAAAGATGTTTTGTTGGCTTGTTTTCCTTTCCTGATCTAAGTATTACATTCCAAAGCGCATTGTTTCCCGATTACAAAATGAGATTAATAAATGGTACCTATGTTTTTCTGTGCATTTAGTTTGTTATTAAGCATATAAATTAGTAAGCACTCATTCTAACATTGTTTGCTTTATTCACTGGAAATCCATATAATATAGAAAATTGGTTTGTAGATGGCTCCTAAAGAGGTAAATTAAGAATATTTATATTTAGAATGCTTTTATCCAATAGTACTTGTTTTTCCTAGGTCAGCTTAATTTGTTTTAAATTTGAGAGGAAGAACAATAGAAGACCAATAAAGATATTCAATTTTTTTATTTTATTAAAATTTTCCAAAATTCAACTCAAAATTTCAGAGATAATTTAGATATTCAAATTTGTTTATTTTAGTCAGTTTTTCCAAAATTCTAACCCAGAATTTCAGAGATAATTTACTATTTAAAATAGAAAATTTGTGTATTCTTTATTATAACTGTTTGCTTTAAAATCTCTTAATCTAGTTAGAAATGGTGGTAATTTATTTAAAAAGTAAATATTTTTACCTTAGTTTTCTTAGTTTTTTATTAGCCTATATTAATCATAAAAATGATGGATTTTATTATGGCTTTTCATACTTGTATATAATGTGTTTTGATCATATTTATACCCCATAACTCTTTTTTGTCCTTCCCTATTTCTGCTGATCCCCATCCTTTTCCAAAATACCCTCTTCAATTGTTATGTCTTGTCTTCACTATACTTTATTTTTGATGACCCATTGAGTTTCACTAGGGCTGTTTACAGAAACATGGATGAGAGTTTATTTACTAGAGCGTGGCACCTTACCATTAGCTATACCACTGAAGAAAATGTCTTCTCCTTCCCCAGCAACCATTAACTGGATATCTTAATTCTCTTATAGGAAACTTTGATGGAAAATTTGAGGCACTGGATCTTGCAGAATTTACTAAAAAGCAACCATGGTGGCATAAGCTGTTTGGGCAGAAATCTGGGCCGTCAGCTGAAAAATATAGTGTAGCAACCCAGCTGTTAATTGGTGGTGTTACTGGATGGTAAGTGATGTTAACGATTTTCCGTTCTTTTGTGCCTGATTTAGTAGTATAGTTACAGAAACTATCTTCTCTAATTATTTAAAACACATTGACTTCACTGAAATTGGCCAATACATGTTGTAAACCATTAAATTAAAGTACTATTTGATATTTTTTGCATGCTACTGTCAGACCCAAAGGACAGTCTAATCCACCAAACTCCAAAAAGCAGTCCAAATATCCAAAAATGAACTCTACCTGAACTATAGGAGGATTTCTGGTGGTTAGGTAAAGGCCAGCATTCCTCAAGAATTTGTGAAGTTGGTTCTCTTCTGCCAAAAGGAATCATTTCCCTTACCTCTGGCAAAAGAGATACATGGCTCTCCAATTAACATATACCAGCAGCAGCTATCAGCATATCAAGGTCCATGCTAACCTCCAGGCTTCCTTGGTCCTTTTACTCACAAGTATTTGTTAAATATTTCAAAGCCCCCATACCAATCTTCTGGCCTTTGACCCCCCTCACACACCCAGCTACTCACCCTTCTTATAATCTGGCTATTCTGACTATTCTCTGATCTTGCTTTTCTTACTCTGCTCTCTCTATTCTCTATCCCCGCTATTCTCCTCTCTCCAGAAGCCTTGGACATATCCAGTCTGCTGGCCATGTTTAATCTACTTCTCTTTCTGTTCTGGACTCTTCCGGATGCCCCTGGCTGTTCTTTCTCTCATATCTACAATAAATACTGTCCCCTTAACCATAACATTCCTCGTGACAAAACCCTTACATACAGGTACTTGGTGCAAATCAGGCACTATTTTAAGTTTATATACATACACACACACACACACACACACACACACACACACACACATATATATATATATATATATATATATATATATATATAATTTTCTTCTTAAAATGACTCTGAACTTGGTACTTTTTAAAATTCCATACTTTTTGTAGAAGCTTTGGTTCAGAATGTTTATCTAGATTCTAGATCAAGGCAACATAGTCAGCAAGAGGTAGATTAAGAAGCTATCCACTTATGAAGCACAATTAATAAAAGCTCAGGGTCAGAAATTAGGATTCAACCTGAAGATCCAAAAAGTAAAACAGCCAGCCACTGACTCTTACCTCCACCTCAATCCAAAATGTTGATCCTGCCTCCAGGAATCTCAGAATAAGATTTTGTGTCTGAGAGCTGTTTTTTTCCCATTTCATAATCTTTTCTAGGGCTGGGATTAAATGTGTGCACCACTGTCATTAAAGGCATGCAGTGCCCAGTTTCTATGGCAACTAGTGTGGCTACTGGAATTACAGATGTGTGTCATTATGGCTATTGGGATTGAACGTGTGTGTTATTGTGGTTACTGAGATTAAAGGTCTGCATTACCATAATCTGGTCTGTAAGGCTAATCAGTGGGACTGTTTTACCCTCAGATCTTCAGGAAATCTTTATTTTAAAAAAGTTGAAATGCTACTACACAATTGTATTAGCTGTGTCACATGTTAATGTGGCAGTTTTCATTTGTTGATATTTTTTATCGTAATAGTAGCCAGTTTAGTGAGTCAGTGACTAATTCATCAATCTTAGAAACATATTTGTTACTTAAATTTTGTCTTTTTTTATTAAATTCATGTTTTTCTCCCTGTGAAATTGTCATTTTTTTTGTAGTATTGAGTTTTAAGAGGCTTTTTTTGTGTTTGTTTTGATTTTGTTTTTTTTCCAACGGGGTCTATGGCTCAGCATGGCCCAGAACTTGTGATGTTCTTTCCTCTGTCTCCCAAGTAGTGTTGTATACCTCCACAGTTGTAATATGCCTCAGGCTTGCTATTCATTGGCACTTAAACAATATAAAGGAAAGCAGATGCTTTATACAAAAATTTTCATACAAATGTTCTAGTTTTATTCATAATACTTGAAGGTAGAAACAATCTAAACATAAAACATGAAAAGGGAAGGGAACAGGTGTGCTTTAATTCCATGTCTTTATATTGTATTAAAAATCAATTTATCATCTGTGCATTAAATTGATATGTCTTTTGACCAACAAAATAGCTTAGTAGGTTAATGCACTTACCATTAAGCCTGAGGACCTGAGTTCTTTCTCAGGGATCCACATGATAGGAAGGGAGATCTGACTTGTATAAGTTGTCCTCTGACTTCCACATGTATGCTATGGCAAGCTACACATGTGCACACATATGTAAACATGTGCACATGATACATACACACACCTCAAAATAAAACACTTAAAAAATAAAAATAATTCATTTAAAAATTGATTTGTCTTGGTGCCAGTATCATATTATTCTAATCACTATGGCTTTATTTTCTTTGACTTTTTTCAGCTTTGTAGGTTATATAGTCTATACAATCAATATATCACAATATATAGTCAACATAGATTCCCAAATAATTATAAATATTTCATATTTTGATGTTATGGTAGCTTCAAATTTTCATTTTCCGTTATTCATTACTTATAAATAGAAATTCAATTTCCTAAAGTCATTTTATTGGGTTGCAGAGTTTGGGAGTCCTCAAGATATTTTTGTGTTTGATAATCCTTTAGGACAGTGATTCTCAACCTGTGGGTCATAACCCCTTTGGGAATAGAACAATACTTTATTTTTTATTTTTATTTTTTTATTAATTTAATTTTTTCATTTATTTTACATACTGACCGCAGTTTTTCCTCCCTCCTTTCCTCCTGCCCCTTCCGCCCTTCCTTCATCTCTGGTAGAATAACCTTTTATAGAGGTTGCCTAAGACCACAGATAATTACATTATGATTCATATCAGTACAAAATTATAGTTATGAAGTAGCAATGAAAATGATGTTATGATTGTGGGTAAGTACAACATGAAGAACTGTATTAAAGAATCACAGCATCAGAAAGGTTGAGAATCAGTGCTCTGGGAAGATTTATAGAACTCAGAGTGGTCCTACTTAGGGTTACAACTTCCCAAAAATAATCAGACAAGAAAAGAAGCACAGAGGGCAGCAGCCAGCAGAAACACATTAATGGATTTCCCACTTGACACTTATGGAGTCTTTTATTTTAAATAGGTTTCTTGTAGCATATAGATTTTACTCTTTTAAAACACCCAGTTTTCCATGGTCCAAATGAGGAACAGAAGGAGGAAGAACATGAAAAAAAAACTCAGGACCGCGAGGGGTGCGATCACCCACTGATACAAGGGGACTGATCTAATGAGAGTTCACCAAGGCCAGTTGGACTGGGACTGAACGAGCATGTGATCCAACCAGATTTTCTGAATGTGGCCAGATTCTCTGAATGTGGCTGGCCCGGAGCCTTTCTGAAAAGCCATTGACAATGACACTGAGACTTGTTTCCTCTGCATATACTGGATTTTTGGGATCCAGCCTGTTTGGATACTCACCTTCCTGGACCTGGAGGGAAGGGGGAGGAACTTGAACTTCCCACAGGGCTGGAAGCCCTGACTCCTCTTAGGGATGGAGAGGGAGGAGGAGGGGGAGGGAGGAGGGGGAGGGTGTTGGGAGGAGGGGCGGAAATGGAAACTTTCATAATTTAATAAACTTTGAAAAAAAACACCCAGTTGTATATGGGTTGTATGGATTTGAACTTAAGTCCTCATATATATACAGCAAGTAGTTTATTCACTAAACTATCTCCTCAGCCTGAATCTTTTAAAACTTCAGTTTGAAATCTCTTCCTTTTCAATAGAGTGTTTAGACTATTTGAATATATTTTTTTGAGGTATCGTCTCTTTACATAAACCTGGCTGTTTGGAACTCTCTATGTAGACCAGGTTGTCCTGAAACTCACAGAGATTAACTTGCCTCTGCCTTCTGAGTACTGGGATAAAAGGTGTACCCCACTATGCCCAGCTTGCGTGTATATTTTTAATTTACAAGCTTCATATGATGTTACATGCATACATTCTTAGTATATGTGAGGGATGCAGTAAAGAAACCGCTGGAATGGCTGCTCAGTGGTTGGCAGTAGGGGAGATTTTTATTGTAGATAAGAAAGAGAAAGAACATCTAGAGCCATCTGAAAGAGTCTAAAACCAAGAGAAAAAGAAGCAGATTGGATATGGTCATATCTGCAAGAGAAGGATAAATAGCGGGGAATAGCAAGAGAGAGTAGTGGAGATGGCAGGGAAAGAAAATAGAACAGTGGGAATAGTGAGAACAGGGGAAAACCTGGTCTGTATAGAGAACAAAGGGGTGCCCAAGAGGAGGAAAACATGTTAACTGAAACAGCCTAGAGGTTTAGGGTAGAGGACAAGGTGAGATGGGCCAGGATGTTAGTGTGGACTTTGAAATGTATAATGGGTGTTTTTCAATAGGGACTGTAGGAGCCTGGAGGCTAGCATGGCTTTCTGTTTCTGTACATGGTAGGAAGGAACTAGATCATCTCAAGATAAGTAGAATATGAGCATTGTCAGAAGTTCAGGTTTGTGTGCATCTGACAGCCTGTCACTTTGTCTGATATTGGTTTGGTTTTACAGGTGCACTGGTTTCGTTTTCCAGAAAGTTGGAAAATTGGCTGCAACAGCTGTAGGAGGTGGATTCTTTCTACTTCAGGTTTGTCTATTAAGCTTCCTAGATATTTGGAAATTCCTCTTGCCTATTAACATATTGTGAGAAATTGCAACATTGGCTATAATGCCCTAAAATAGCATACACATTTTTTTGTTTACTATTTTGAATGCCACTAACCACTAAAGGTTTCTCTCCTGCCTGCCAGTTCCAGAATAACCACTCTGAGGCTTAATATTAATTATAAATGTTTGGTCAATGGCTCAGGCTTATTACTAGCTGGTCTTACATTTAAATTAACCCATTCAGTTAATCTCTGTATTGTCATGTGGCCTGTGGCTTACTGGTAGTGCTCTGGTGTGTTGTTCCTTGGGTAGCTGGATGGTGTCTCTCAGGCTTTGCCTTCTTCTCCTGTATCTCTTCTAGGATTTCCCACTTGGCTCTATCCTGCCTTGCCATAAGCCGTGGAGCTTTATTTATCAACCAATGAGAACAATGTTATGGGATGTACAGAAAGACATCCCATGAAAGACATCCCATATCATTTCCCCCTTTCTGTATAATCAAAAAGAAATGTTTTAACTTTAACAATAAAATTATATATAACAAAACAGTTATCAAGCAAGAATTATAGCTACAATAGTTAGTCTATTTGTATTTGCCAAAATTAAGAAAATACTCTGTCAACTATCCTATCTTTGTAAGTCTAAAGTTTTATATCTAATTTATCTTTTATCATAACTAAGAAAAACTATAATTATAACTATCTAGTCTTTAACTCCATCAAAGATCCCTAGAAGGATATAATATTACCTGAGTAAACAAGAAGTCCATTGCAAGCAACTTCCAAAACTCTAGAAATGACAGTGACATCTGACTGTCTGGACAGTCACCCAAAGTTCTTCTGTAACGTTGGAGCATCCATCTTTATCTTACAGGCCTAAAGATTCTAGCAGACTTTTCCATGAAGCAGGATGTTTGAAGGACTGTCTCACCTATTTAGCAAAGTTCGTCAGTCGGTTTCCTCTGTGTCCTGCAGAATGTCTGGCAGTTTCTTCTGTGAAGCAGGAACCCTGAAGGTTCCTGCCTTGTTTTGGCAAAGTTTAGCAGTCATTTTTTTTTCTGTGGGTTCTTCATGTCCAGTTTATACAGCATATTGTCAAGCATTGTAGGCAAGAACAGATTTTGCCCAAAGGACTAGCCTTGCTACATTAAAAACAAACTCAATAATGAGTTTCTTTGTTTCCCCTCATCCTCTTTGAAGTAATTGATGCTGCCAGAAGCAGACACATCTCATGTCTAGACAACTCTAAGTTATTAAAACATTTTAATGCCATATTCTGTTGGTCTTTGAAGTGTTTGGAGATTACCTGGCATTGAACTCACAGAGATCTGCCTGCCTCTGCCTCCCAAGTGCTGGGATTAAAGAAATGTGCCACCACCACCCGGCTTGAATCAATTTCATTCTATACATAATTCCTTGAAAAAATGTTTATTTTTTTTAAATTTCTGAAAAATTGAACTTACTACTTTGAGTTTAATCATCTTATTTTTAAATCTTACTTAAAACTGTATAAAGGAAAATTCAGCATGTACATTAAAGAATTACCAGAAATTGGGGACAATTGTTTATTTCCATTACTAGGCATGGAACCTTGAATATAGTATTTTGAACCTTGAATATAAGACATCTTGTCTGAAGATCATTTAAAAAAAAACAAATAGCAAATGTCTCCAAAAACAGAAAATCAGAAGAATTTTGATTACCTCTTTCATAATTTATCTTGAAAAAAAGAATACCAAAGACCATGTTTTTTATTTCCTTTTATCACTGTTAAAATTGTAGCTGGCAAACCATACTGGGTACATCAAAGTTGACTGGCAACGAGTAGAGAAAGACATGAAAAAAGCCAAAGAACAGTTGAAGATTCGTAAGAATAACCAAATACCAACTGAGGTCAAGAGCAAAGCTGAGGAGGTAAGACTTGCTTTGTTCAGATTTAGTATATGAAAAGTACAAGCAGTTTTGTGTACAAAATGGGATACAGGGCAGGGGAGGGGAGATGGACGGATGAGAACTTGAGGGAGTGGTTTGAGTGGGCTGGGTGTAGGAGGCAGGTTGGAGGTAGGATGAAGAGGAAGAGTAATGAAAGAAACTTCTTGATGAGAGGCATTTTGGGGTTGGGGAGAAACCTGGTGCCAGGGAAACCTCCAGGAACCCACAAAGATTGTTGTTGGGGTTGTTTTGTCCTGCCCAGTTCCCACAGTCATTAAGTCCCAAAGAAATCACACAGAGGTCTCCATTAGTTATAAACTGATTGGCCCATTAGCTCAGGCTTCTTATTAACTCTTATAACTTATATTAGCCCATTATTCTTGTCTCTGTTAGCCACATGACTCAGTACCTTATTCAGCGAGGCAGTCACATCTTGCTTCTTCTGTGGCTGGGCCAGGACTGCTGAGGAATGGGCTTTCTTCTTCCCAGAATTCTCCTGTTCTCATTGACCTGCCTCTACTTCCTGTCTGGTTGTCCCACCTATACTTCCTGCCTGTCTTCTGACGATCAGCATTAATTTAAAATATAATTGACACAATGCAGACAATTGTCCCACACCAAAGATAACTCCAGCTAAGACTCATAGCAGTAGTGGAGAGAGTGCCTGAACTGGCCATCTACTGTAATCAGATTGGTGAATACCCTAATTGCTGTCAGAGACGCTTTATTCAGTAACTGATGGAAGCAGGTGCAGAAATCCACAGCCAAGCATTGGGCCAAGTTCTGGGCGTCTTGCTAAAGAATGGGAGGAGAGATTATTTGAACCAGGGGGTCATGTTGGGGAACCTACAGAAACAGCTGACCTCAGCTCTTGGAAGCTCATGGACTCTGGACCCATAGTCAGGAGCCTCCGTGGGACTGACCTAGCCCTCTGCATGTGTGTGACAGTTGTATAACTTGGTCTCTTTGTAAGGCTCCTAGCAGTGAGATCAGGACCTCTCCCTGGTGCTTTGCTCGCTTTTGGGAACCTGTTCCCCATGCAGGATTACCTTGCCCAGCCTTCACAGAAGGGGAAGAACTTGATCCTGCCACAACTTGATGTGCCATGCTTTACTTAAGCCCATGGCAGGCCTGTCGCTTTTTGAATGGAGACTGGAGGTAGAGGAAGAGTAGAAGGGGAGGGAGGTAAATGGAAAGGGGATACTGGGAGGCAAGAAGGGAGGAGGAACAGCGGTCAGTATGTAAAATAAAAGGAAAAAGTGTTATTTAAATAAAATTAAAAAAGAAAAAATAGGCTACATAACTGTCTCAGCAGTATAAAAAGCTTTATGATTACAAAGAACTTAGAGCAGTGAGACAAAAACTATATTCGATATGTCAATCTTAGAATATCATTACTGTAGAAACAGTTTTCAGGGGATAAAGTCTTAAATTTCTGTCTCAACTTCTTGAGTTCTGCGATACCTAGCATGTGCTACCTCACTCTCATGAAGGCATTTTTTATTTAAAAAGATTTTACTTTATTTTTTATGTATATGGGTGTTTTGCTTACATGTATATATATACACCCTGTGCATACCTAGTGCTTGTAGGGGCAAGAAGAGGGCATTGTGTCTTCTAGAACTGGAGTTACAGATGGTCGTGAGCTGCCATGTAGTTGCTAGGAATTGAACCCAGGTCCTCTGGAAGAACAGCCAGTGTTCTTAACTACTGTCTCTCCAGCCTCTTCTTGTAAACCTTAGTAATCCAAATATTTGGTAACCTTTGCCAGTGAGTGAAAAAAACAAAGGAAATGAAGATAGTGGTTGTGTTAAAAAAAAATTGTTGCTGTTGTTCTTTAAGACAGGATTTCTCTGTCTAACAGTCCTGGTTGTTCTGGAGCTTACTCTGTAGACCAAGCTGGCTCTGAACTCACAGAGATCTGCCTGTCTCTGCCACCAAATGCTGGGATTGAAGGCCTGGCATGTTAACTAGTTCTTATAGGAATAGGTGTGCCATAATGGGTGGGGTGTACTGCCAATGTGAACATTTTTGAGTTACTTTTTTATCTCTATGCCTGCTTATCTTTGAAATATCCAAACTCCATGAGTTCTGCACATGACTAATAGAAATATTTAAATATTGGGTTGGCAAACTTTTTCTGAAGATAGCCAGGTAGTAAATATTTTCAGTTTTTGAGTTATGGTCTCTGTCACAATGATCAGACTTCCTCATATAGAGTGAAAATGGCCATAGATGATATGTGAACTCTATACACATGAATGTGTACTCATATATACATATCTCCCCAGATATACATATCAAAACTGTAAGTGAAATTTTTTGTTTACCTCTGATAGTGTTTTGTTTAAGTAAATGTGGAAGTCCTAGAGAATTAAGGGCTGCAGTGGAAGTGAGGCAAAGAGACATAATGTCCTAACTTCATTTTTATTTCTGGGATAAGATATTCTGACCAAAAGCAGTTTAGGGGAGGAAAGGATTTATTCAGTTTACAGTTCCAGGTTCAGGCCTTTATTGAGGGAAAATCAAGGCCGGAACTTGGACAGCTAAACACAAAGAGAAACAAATGTATCTTTGCTGCCTGCTTGCTATCCCATACAGCATTACCTCTGACTAAGGAATTTAATTCACAGTCAAAGAGCATGTGGCAAGAACCACAGAGAATGCTGTTTGCTGGTTGACAGACAGGCTTATACCAATTAGCTTTCTTGTACAGTTCAAGATCACCTGCCTAGAGAACGGTGCTGCTCACAGTATGGTGGGCTCTCCTACATCAACTAACAATCAAGGCAGTCTCCTACAAACGTGCCCAGATTAATCCTAATTCTGTGACCCTTTAATATAATCCCTCGTGTTGTGGTGACCTCCAACCATAAAATTATTTTTGCTGCTGCTTCATAATGATTTTACTACTCTTATGTTTTCTAATGTAAATGTCTGTGTTTTCTGATGGTCTTGGGCGACTTGTGAGCCACAGGTTGAAAACTTAATTTAGGCAATTTTTCAATTGATATTCTCTTCTCAGATATTTGTAGGTTGTCTCAAGTTGACAGTTAAAGCTAATCAAGATCTCTAGATACAGTAGTAGTGAAGAGACACTGTGGACTTTGCATAATGGTGCAAGGAGAATGGACAGAGTGATAGGAATGTAATGTTGCAAATGGCTTACTCAGTTGGAAAATGAAGACACTGTGCTTAAGTTCAAGAAATGATTTGACTATGCCAGGGATATAGCTTAGTTGGTAAAGTGATTACCATACAAATCTAAAGACCAGAGTTTTAGATCCCCAGCACTCATGTAAATGCCAGGTGTGGCCTGCCTAAAGTCTCAAGGCTATTGCAAAATCATCAGAGCAAACTGGCTAGCCAGACTAGCCCAAATGGCAATCTCTAGGATCAGCAAGAGAGCCTGCCTCAATATATAAGGTGGGAGTCATCTAGGAAGACACCTATCAATATTGGCCCTACATATGTATATGCACATGTGTATACATGTTCATGTACTACAAATACACACACACACACACACACACACACAAACACATACTGCATAATGCAAAAACAAAAAGAAATGATTAGGTCAGGATGTAGGATATATTATTTCTCATTTACTTTGTAAGGGAAGTGGCCAGGAGAGTAGAAACTTTTGCAGGAAGGTGTAGGGGAGGTAGGAGCTTAGGAAAATAAGGAAATAAGACTTTACCTATAGTTGTCAGTAATGGAAATGATCAACATCCATAGCAAAATAACTCATTGTATCAAAATCTTCTGTTTTTCAGGTTGTGTCATTTGTAAAGAAGAATGTTCTAGTAACTGGAGGATTTTTTGGAGGCTTTTTGCTTGGCATGGCATCATAAAAAATACAACTTCACTCCATTGTTTTTTATTCCTTCTTTTTTCTTGCCAGTACCTTCTGCACTTAAACATAGGACAAACAACACTCCTCTCGCTACTCTTGTCTTGTACCTTTCTCCTGTTGTGGCAAATCTGAATGGCTTCCATAGGCTTCTCCTGGTACAAAGTTAATACAGGCCTTCTCATAAGCTTGACATGTTGGAAAAGACAATAGATGTTGACTCTCCCAGTATATGCCTCATGACTTGATCAATGAGTAGCTTAGTAAGAATGTTCTCTTTTGAGAAAAAGACAAGATCTGAGTAAATTTAGAGCATGGGGGTCATGGGAGAGGGTAAAAGGGGAAGAGGAGGGGTATGGAGGAGGGTAGAGAAAAATGTATAATGCAGTAAAAACAATAAAAAGTGAAAAAGAAAAGAAAAAAATATTCCCTTTCCGCTATATAAGATCCTTTGGAAAAGCAGCGTATACTTACCTTAGTATATGTTACATGGAAAGGAATGAATACATTTGCCTTTAAGCATGAAAGATATTAGTATCTTGGTTTGTGCCTTCTTTTTTAGTTGACTTTAGATTATAGAAAGAGGTACTTATACATGCTATAATTATCCTGCCAATATGATAGTATAAGTATTATGACTAAAGATTGACTATAAAATGAACTTCTGCTAAAGATGTATGAAGTAATGTAGGTATTGGACTTGATAGGTGGATCTTTATGGAAACCAACTGCTAGAAATTCATTGTTGGATGGTCAGATGAGTCATTTGTAGGTATTAAGATCCAGTCCAGAAATGTTTTCCACCATTACCACATACTGCATCTCATCGCTGTTTTCAAGTAATTTAGGTGGGAGAAGGAAGAAACTGTTAGATATTTATTTCACAGAAAATTTTCTGTTGTTTGAAATTTTGTTAAAGTATTAGGGGTAACAGTATCCCTCTATGGAAGTACTGTTGCTTTATCCAGTTAGTATGAAATATAACATATAAGCCAGAATTTTAAAGAGATGTTCCACACATTCAGAATTTAGAAAGACAGTGTTACCATATGTAAAATAAATTGTTTCCATCTAATGCAATCTCTATCAGAATTATTCTTTAAAATAAAAGTCTGTGTACACTTCAGATTTTGCTATAATGGCTGTTACCATGTTCTCAATTCCAACTAGGAAATCATCTTCCAAAAGCTGTCTGCCATCTTCATTGCACCCACAGGGCTTACTACGTAATAGATTTCAAGTATTTATTGAATATATTTATTTATATAAAGAAAACTCTTCCCTGTTAAAGTTTTAGTTTAATGCAAGTGAATTCTTAGATATGTAGATGAACCCATATGTAATAGTGTGCTTTTAAGGTTATACATTAAAGATAATTACTTTTTGACATACCTTGACAATGATGTATTGAATTGTAAGATTGAAATTACCAGTGGATGTGTAAAACTGTTTAGGATTCACCTATTTGTATTTCCTTATTACATTTTAATATTACTTAAACCAATATAAGTTATTCTATTTGTGATATGTATTAATCATCCTTTTAAATGGTAGTACAACTCTCCTTGGTACATACTTTTCTAAAAGAATTTGAAAATGATTTTTCACTATTTATTGTGGAAACATAAGAGAGTATAGTACTGTGATTTCCCAAAGTATCAATTGCTTGCCTATAGCAATCATGAAATTATATTTGTTTTGTCACTTATTGTAAAATACCAGAGTCATTTTATTGTTTCCAATATGTCTTTAACACTAAAGCTAGGTATACTTTTAAAACTATCATAAGTATAATACCTCATTAATTTAGAAAATTTTAATAACAATCCTTTAGTATCAAACACATACATTGTTTTAGGTAATTTTTGTGTGTATAGTATATTTATTGATAACTGTGGGTCATCATCTGTTTTACCTGTATCCTTCTTTGAGTTATGCTATTTATGATGATTCTGTAGCTATGTCACTTTCCCTGTGTCTTACCCACATCAATGGTATGGTGACAGCAAAAGCTATTGCCATGCCCCTTTGAGCATGTGATGGGGAGTGGTCATCTACTACTTCTCTGGTGAACTGGTTGCTGACTTCTGGTCCATCTGCTTTCTTTGTGATTATTGGTGAGCATAATAAAGATTAGCAGGTTGGAATTCCTTTGAAAGATTGTAATAGGTAATAGTCTAGACTCAGATTTTGCCCTCATTGTCTGAAATAAGGACTATAGGTCTCTCCTGAAGTTTGGTTAGGGTCCATGTGGTCACTTCTGTTTGTGTAGAGCTGGTGCAGGATTAGTCACAATGTGCACACTTCAAGTTCCAGCTAAAGCTCAGTGGTCACTGAAGTAGCTGCAAACATTTTGGGGAACCTCAATTGATGCCTCATAGTGTCAGCATCTTTGCTTCGAGATTACTGAGGATGTAGCTCAATGATAGAGCATTTGCCTATTATGTGTGAGGCCCTGGGTTCAATCCCAGCATTGCAAGAAAAATAGAGCCAAGAAGGCCTGACTTTAAGTTTTCTGAAAAAAATTAGCTGTCATTGTATTCACAACCTAAATGATACCAGGGTTAGGCAGTTAAAGCATTGAATGCATTTGTTTTCATTTGAAAGCAAGACATGTTTGTCAGGGCACATGATTTGTTTCAAGTACCCAGAGTCAATTAACATGATAACCTCTTTACCAGAGATGATAGAACTGATTTTCTTCGATGAAGACGTTAAACATTGTCCATATATAATGTACTGAGAAACATGATGTTTCCCCTGGCAGAAATGCAGGAAGACTGCGTTCCATCAGTTCCCTATAGCCCCTGGTTCACTTCTGATCCCCCTCGGGCTCTGGCTATGTCCTGCATTCTTATTACTCTGGACAACCCTTTGACCAAGTGTGCATTCCACAAGGGACAGGGTACTGCTTCAGAATTATAATGTTTGATATTCTCCATCAGACAGAAGGTCAAGGGGTCATGGCAGAAGCACTTTTTTTCTGGAATGCCTCTGTGGGCTCAACAGATTCCAACATTTTCACTCTAGCCAAGGCTCTGTGAAATCCTTTTTTTTTTTAAACCAGAAACCCAGGGATTACCTACCTGTGTAAGAGCCACCCACTCATTGCTATAAGTGTCATCATTCTGATAACATGCTAACAAGATTCCCCACTCCCTGTTGACAGAAGTTTTGTTCCTCCCAGTCCTGCAGCCGTTCAATCCCAAAGAAACTTCCAGAGATCTACATTAATTATAAACTGGTTGACCTATTAGCTAAGACTTCTTATTAACTAATTCTTTTTTTCTTTTTACCATTTTTCTGTTTTTTTAAAGAGAACAAACTATCTTTTTTCACTATATATACCAATCTAAGTTCCCACTCTTTCCCCTCCTCCCATTTCCTCCACTAACCTCCCCACCCCCATCCATTCCTCAGAGAAGGTAAGGCACATTGCTTTGGAAAGGTCCAAGGCCCTCCCTACTATATCTAGGATGAGCAAGGTATCCATCCAAAGAGAATGGGTTCCCAAAAAGTCAGTACAAGAAGTAAGGATAAAGACTCCAGGCCAGCCACATTCAGAGAATCCAGCCACATTCAGAGAATCTGGTTGGATCACGTGCTTGTTCAGTCCCAGTCCAACTGGCCTTGGTGAACTCTCATTAGATCAGTCCCCTTGTATCAGTGCGTGATCGCACCCCTCGCGGTCCTGATTTCCTTTTGCATGTTCTTCCTCCTTCTGCTCCTCATTTGGACCTTGGGGGGCTCAGTCCGGTGCTCCAATGTGGGTCTCCGTCTGTATCGCCATCCATCGTCGGATGAAGGTTCCCTCTGGTCTTGCCTTCTTTGCTCACGTTCTCTTTCCTTCTGCTTCTCGTTTGGACCTAGGGAGTTAATTCCAGTGTTCCAATGTGGGTCTCTGTCTCTATCTCCATCCATGGCCAGATGAAGGTTCTATGGTGATAAGCAAAATATTCATCAGTATGGTTATGGGCCAAGGCCGGTTCAGGCACCCACTCCTCTGTCCAGAGAACAATCTGGGGATCTCTCCTTGGACCTGGGATCCTATTTATAATCAAGTCTCTTGTAAACCCTAAAATGACTCCCTTAGTTGAAATATATTCTTCCCTGCTCCCATATCCATCCTTCCTCCCTCCCCCCATCCCAGTCCCCCGAGCTTTCCCCATTCCTCCCCTACTCCCTACTCTCTAACCCTCTCCCTTTCCAACAACCCTTCCACCTCCCCCCATGCACCCGAGGTTACCTGGGACTCTTGTCTATTTTCAGTCTCCAGGAGGATAACTACATGATTTTCTTCAGGTTCACCTTCTTATTTAGCTTCTCTAGGATCACGATTAATAGGCTCAAAGACCTTTAATTATGGCTAGAATCCACTTATGAGTGAATACATACCATATTCCTCTTTTTGGGTCTGGCTTTCCACACTCAGTAAAGCGTTTTCTATGTCCATCCATTTGCATGCAAAATTCAAGATATCATTGCTTTTTACCACTGAGGAGAACTCTAATGTGTATATGTTCCCCACCATCTTAATCCATTCTTCTATTGAGGGGCACCTAGGTTATTTCCAGGTTCTGGCTATTACAAATAGTGCTGCTATGAACATAGTTGAACAAATGCTTTTGTGGTATGATAGGGCATCTCTTGGGTATATTCCCAAGAGTGGAATTGCTGGGTCTTGAGGGAGGTTGACTCCCAGTTTCCTGAGAAATCGCCACACTGATTTCCACAGTGGCTGCACAAGTTTGCATTCCCACCAACAAGGGACTTGTTTCCTCTGCATATACTGGATTTTTGGGATCCAGTCTGTCTGGATACTCACCTTCCTGGACCTGGAGGGAGGGGGGAGGAACTTGAACTTCCCACAGGGCAGGAAACCCTGACTGCTCTTAGGGATGGAGAGGGAGGAGGAGAGGGAGTTGGGGGAGTGGGAGGGTGTTGGGAGGTGGGGCGGAAATGGAAATTTTTATAATTTAATAAACTTTGGGGAAAAAAAGAAGTTAGGATAAATCCTGATGCCACTGCCAATGGTCCCTCAGTCTGCTCCAGCCATGCAACTGTCACCCACATTCAGAAGGACTAGTCTGGTCCTATGCTTGTTCCTTCCCAGTCCAACTGGCGTTGGTGAGCTCCTATTAGCTCAGGTAAACTGTTTCAGTGGGTGTTCCCATCATGGTCTTGACCTTTTTTCTCATAATTTCACTCCTCCCACTCTTCAGCTGGACTTTGGGAGCTCAGTCCAGTGCTCCTTTGTGGGTCTCTGCCTCTGTTTCCATAAGTTGCTGGATGAAGTTTCTATGGTCATATTTAAGAAATTTATCATTCTGACTACAGGGCAAGACCAGTTCGAGCACCCTCTCCACTATTGCTTAGGGTCTTAACTGGGGTCATCCTTGTGGATTCCTGGGAAATTCTCTAAAGCCAGGTTTCTTTTTATTATTATTACTTTAAAAATAATACCAATCAAAATTCCCACTTCTTCCCCTCCTCCCACTTCTCTCCCACTCCCCCTCACTCCCTCTCCCCACCCCCTCCAGTACTAAGAGAAGGCAAGGCACCCTGCCCTGTGGGAAGTCCAAGGCCCTCCCCACTACATCCAGGCTTAGGAAGGTATGCATCCAAACAGACTAGAATCCCAAAAGCCAGCACATGCAGTAGAGACAAATCCCAGTGCCTTTATCATTGGCCCCTCTGTCTACCCCAACTGTCAACCACATTCAGAGGGTCCGGTTTGATCACATGCTTGTTTCATTCCCAGTCCAGATGGAGTTGGTGAGCTCCCATTAGATCAGGCACACTTTCTCAGTGGGAGAACCCCTTGTGATCCTGACTTCCTTGCTCATTCTCCCTCCTTCCGCTCTTCAACTGGACCCTGGGAGCTCATTCCAGTGCTCCAATGTGGGTCTCTGTCTCTGTCTCCTTCTGTCGCCAGAGGAAGGTTCTATGGTGATATTCAATATAGTCATCAGTCTGACTATGGGAGAAGGCCAGTTCAGGCACCCTCTCCTCCACTGCCCAGGGTCCTAGCTGGGGACATCCCCATGGACACCTCAGAACACCTCTAGAGCCAAGCCTCTTGCCAGCCCCAAAATGGCTCCCTTAATTAAGATATCTTCTTCCCTG